CCAGCCGAGTACAGCCAAGTTGCATCCTGGGTCCCAGGTGCCACTTTTCAAAATCAGAAAGCTCCCAGCTTGGAAAAATGGCTGCTGAAGCATGCCTGGGACCCAGGATGTAGTTAGGCTGCATCCCGGCTGGTGAAATCGGTGGCAACTATTGGTGTGATAATACCCGGCTGCATCCTGGAAGAGGATTCAAACCAGGAAAGGTAAGCTGGGTTTTTAGCTGTGCAAAAAAATTCCTATATTACTTGTGACTCATTACTTCCAAGCTCTGGTTCTGAATCAGGATTAGAAGAAAGAGGAGGAAATGGGTTTGATGTTCATGTTCTGGAATCAAGTTTTACCTGTGTGAAGAGGCAGATAAGAACTAAAAATGTGGGCAGCAAAGGGAAATGTCCTCTCTTTAAAGAGAACAGAATGCCTTTAAGCAGCTGGAAGTTGTACAGTTGGAGCACAGGCTGCAGCAACATATTAGGATAGCAGAAAGCAGAAGGGGGAGAAGGTGAGGCTGTGGAGACCTTGGCTACATGTGGAATGGAGTAGGAAAGACTCTCTAGTGATGTGATGGATAATCTAACCCTTTTGCTAAAGTATTGCACCCCAGAGATTGAATTAGCCTTTTGTAGAGAATATTTCAAAGGCAATACTTAATGAGCCTCACAGTTCTAAATCCAATTACAAAGCCCCTGCACTATTTTCTGAAGTTCAAACCTGGTGAGATCAGGCATTGTTTATGTGTATGTGCCACATACTAAATGTAAACTGTTGATGTCTGAGAGAAAGCAAAGAGATAATTTATCAATTGTTCAGTTTTGCTTACAAAACATCCCTACCAGTTCTTTTTTTTTTTTTTTTTTTTTTTTTTTTTTTTTTTTTTTTTTTTTTTTTTTTTTTTTTTTTTTTTTTTGCAGATTTTCTTGCTCTTATCTGCAGATGTCAGGGGCTGAATCTTGGAATTTTTGCAAGAATGCAAGAGCCCTGTAGGATCACACCATTGCCCTGCCTCCTCCTCTGCCACTGAACAATGATCATTCTTATAATAAAGATTATCCAAAGAGTGTTAGTTTAAAGAGTTAACTAATTATTCAAGGGCATAGCCATACCAGAAACAGCCTTTCTGTGAGGTGGGGGAAGCACCTATGCTAGGCAGAAGAGTGTAAGTGGTGACAAAATATAACTTCCCTAACAGGGAGGACTTCAGTGACCACTCTGGAGGTTTAAATAACATTCTCTCAGGTATACAAATACTGCATCTGGGAAGCACTTAGGCAGGTTCTCTGCCACCGATGCTGACTGGCACTGTCACCACTCCAGAGTGCTGGTTGCTCTCTGCTTGCTGAAAATGCTTGGTCATGAGAGCAGCAAGCCCAGCCCTGGGGAGAGCCAACTCAATTATTTTCCTAGTTCTGAAATGTTACAACAAAGAAACACAGAAAGCCCACAGGTCAAGAATGTCTTCTTGTGACAGAATAAGATATCAGCACTGCCCTGAACACACTGTCTTGTTCTAAGGAAGGACCCTTCAAAGGCATTCTGTGTGTGTATATGTGTGTGTGTGTGTGAGAGAGAGAGAGAGAGAGAGAGAGGAGGGAAGAGGAGTTGAGGAAAGTGTGGGAAGAGCAGAGGGAGATATAGGGAGAGTGGCAGTGGTGATGGAATGAATCCTCACATCACAGGTAGAAGAATATAATGCATCAAAACAGAGCCAAATTATAGTATCCACAATCAAGTAGGAAGAATCAGCAAGTATAGGAGATCCTTGTGTGTTTAAAAGGGCTGAAAACCCTCAGAAATTTATGGCACCTAATTTTGGTATAGTTTTAAATAGCTTAGTTTATTTTCATTATTCCTAAGACTTGTTTTGTTAGAACTTGGGAATTTCTACCCCCAAATTTGTTGTTGTGGTGGTGTGTCTTCAAGTTGTTTCTTACTTATGATGACCCTAAGATGAACCTACAGGGTTTTCTTGGCAACATTTGTTCAGAGGGGGAGTTATCTTTGCCTTCCTCTGAGGTTAAGAGAGTGTGACTTGCCCAAGGCCACCCAATGGGTTTTCATGGCTGAGAAGGGATTCAAATTTTGGTTTCCCAGCATCATAGTCCAACACTCTGAGCAATGCACCATGCTGACTCTGTACCCCAAAACTTGCTACAATTTAAAATATTAATATTTTTAAGGTGATACATTGATACATTGATTCTGCATCTGCACAGTTGGCAGTCAAATCACACCAGTGAGTCTGTTGATTCTGCTGCTCCTCTCAGCAGGTTTTGATACCATTGACCATAGTATCCTTCTGGCCCACATTGATGGGATGGAACTTGGAGGCATAATTTACACTGGCTCTGTTCTTTCTTCAAGGGATGAAAACACAAAATAGTGCTTTGGGACACCTGTTTGATTCCTTGGTTATTGGTCTTTGGGGTCCCTTGGGACATTGTTTTGTAAAGTTGCTGTTCAACATCTTCATGAAACCACTGGGAGACATCAACCAGAAGCCTGAGATTCGAGGCCTCCAGTACGCTAATGATACCCAACTCTATATCTCCTTTCCACTATATTGCAAAAGAATACACTGGATGGGGAGTTATTCCAGCAGTTGGTAAATCCATGCAAATTAATCCCCTCCAGCCTGAAATGATAGCTGTGGAATCCCACATGGGTGAATGTGGGATTCCACAGCTATCATTTCAGGCTGGAGGGGGATGAATTTGCATTCATCAATAGTTGGATTTACCAACTGCTGAAATAACCATCCCATCCAGTGTCTCTAACTGTAACCAATGAAGTTGTATCCATTTCACTGTATTCATTTGTGTTCTTCTTTACCTGCAGTCTGCCCACCTCAGTGTTGAAGACACCTCCTCTGTCAGGTTGCTGCTAAAACTCTTTCCTTTCCCATGTTCCACCGCCAAGTCTAGAACCAGGCTGATGTGTTTCAGCAATGTGAAGGTGCCTGCCAAACATCAGCCACACACTACAATTTTGGGGTAGCACTGCAAGAACATGCATAACTCAGAAATTATGAGGCAATTTATTGCTCTTTATGAAAGTATCTTTTTTACATTTTTTTCACAGGCAATTAATTAATATTAATTAATATCTGAATAGTAATTAAAAGCTGAAATATGACTCTAGGAGAGGAGAGTTTGCGCAACACTAGTTTCAGCAAAGTAACTGAGATTTCCAATGTGATTAATAGCTGAGCAGGAGGATAATAACAAAGCACTTGCATTTTTGTATGTTTCTATGCATTTTTAAATCCTCAATGGGAGCCAGTATGGCTATTTTCCATAATTGGACAACCTTAATGCCAGTTCACTATCAGGACAAGAAAGGAAAAAAATGTGAACATGAGAGCATAATTCTACAATCAAGTGCCTCAGTGAACAGGAGAGAATTCAGAAACATAGCCATGTTAGTCTGGATCATCAGTAGGCAAAGGAATTTTGTAGCACCTTTAAGACTAACAGTGAGAAAGAAGTTATAGCATAAGCTTTTGTATACTGAGGAAGTAGACCAAGTAGGCCAAGTCTATGAAACCTTATGCTACAACTTCTTTTGCATAGTTAGTCTCAAAGGTGCTACAAGATCTCTTTGCATATTGATATTCCCAACTAACAAGGCTATGTCTCTGAAGTGAATAGAAGAGGTTGAGTAGGAGTACTCATCTGACCATCCTACTCTTAAGACACATTGTTTTTCAAGCATCCCTTCAAGAGTGCTATCCTAACAGAAGGGGCTAGAATTAGTCACAAGACTCTTTTGCCATCAAAATGCCATCTCTTAGAATAAATGCCCTTCCACTAACAGAAACAGTCCTGTTCTAAGGACAGAATTGTCAGAGAGGCTTTGTCACAGGATGTAAAAAATGTCCCAGGTGTGTGCAGTATGCAAAAAGGAGGAAAGCTGACTCAGAAGAAGTTGATGAAACTTCATCAGGAAGTTGTGTGGCAACAGTTCAAAACTGCATAGTCACTGTGGGCATGTGACAGCAAAATAATGAAACACTGACAGGGGTTGGGGTCAGAATCCTAAACAGATTTTGTGTATATAAGGAAGAATGTTCCAGTGCATTGTGGTTAGGTGGATGTTGGTTGGTGGCAGAGCATTATGTTGGATCGTGTAAATATTACTGTATCATTCTTGTATATATTTGCTGCAACTAAGATTTTAAAACCTTTTCATAAGAACCCCACAGTTGTGAGTAAAACTCTGTTAACCAGATGGAGCTTTTTCTCTTCAACTACTTCCAGACTCTCAAGTGGTGTTTGTTTCCTGGCTGGCTGTCTTCTGCGTATGGACTCAGTTTTCTCTGTGCTAACAGAATAGCCCCAGAAGGACAGCAAATGGGTGATTCAAGTAGGAACTGAGTTATACTAGATCCAACCTTTGTATAGCCAAGGGATGCTGCCCCAGTGCTGCCACAAAATTAGTAATCCAAAGGGTAAGGGTAATCTGGATCTAGCACACATTCAGCTGATCTTATATCCACTGGTAGTTGGCTGGTTTTTGCCTGCAATGTAACTCTACAGCCTTCCCAAAGACAACTGATGTGATACTTTCTGTATACACAAATGTATTATGAGCAACCACTTCATAGCTGAGGTCAATGTGGAATCCAATCTTAAGAATGAATTTGCCAGTCTGGAACCACAATGTGATTTGCCAAACCTGACACAACCCTAAATTGATATGAACTGCCCTCAGTATCAGTCTAAATAAAGAATGCTTGGAAGCCAAGGAAGCTCATGTGAGTGATTCAATCAGATGAGTGAAGATGGCAATAAGATGTGTGTGTACTGGGAAGGTTGTCATTAAAAAAAAATCTGCCCAACAACATTTGTGTGTGTTGTTCATCTTCAAGTCATTTCCAACTTATGGTGACCCCAAGCTGAACCTATCTTATGGTTTTCTTGGCAAGTTTCTTCAGAGGGGATTTGCCATTGCCATCCTCTGAGGCATAGAGTGTGACTTGCCCAAAGTCACCCAGTGGCTTTTCATGGCCAAGCAGGGATCTGAACTCTGCTCTCCAGAGCCATAGTCTGACTCTCAAACCACTATGCCACATTGGCTTGTAGCCAAGACAAGATAGTAAAGTTACCTTTCAAGAATTTGATAGATGAACTACTGCATACTAATTAAGAAGCAAATGATGCTATGTCTCCATAATTCTACAAATAAATAAACCAGGCTTTCCTTTCCCAAAGACTGGTTTATTTTCTACATTCTTTTTTACATCTATTTTCTACATTCTTTTGTCTTGTCTGAAAAATGTTCAGCTGTTTCTTTTGAAGAAAAGCCTTTGTATTTTATGGCAACTCTACATTAGGTGAATTTTCAGAGACACTTCCAACAGAAATTTATGCTTAAGAAATTTAGGCATAAATATAGCCTAGATGTAAAGGTGTTTAAAAGGAATATACAAATGATATACATAGTGGTGGTGGGGATCCTTAAACTCTATGCTTGCTTTATTTTATCCACATTCACAGCTGTATGAATTAGGATAAATCACAATTTAGACTTACATTGGATATAATGATGATAATAATAATAATAATAATAATAATAATAATAATAATAATAATAATAATAAATTTTATTTATAACCCCGCAATCGGGGTGGCGTACAACAGAATTAAAAATACAACAAGTAAAACAATTTCTACCTCCCACCTCTTACCCACCCACCCCTTAAAACTGAATTAAACCAACATAAAATTAAAACAGCCAAGATAACTGAATTAAACCACCAGTTTTGTCATGTTTTGTTTCACTCTCAATGTTCTTTAAGTATAGCCCTGGTGTTCTTTATCCTACCTAACACATAAAACTCTACCAAGAAAAGGTTCAGTTGAATACAAACCTGCCACTAAATGTTTTTGGCAGAAGCTTGTCTTGTAAAACCAAACAAAAAGATTTATACTCCAAATCCACAGGAAGTGCAAATTCTTTTAATGGATTTATCAGAGCTGAGTTATGATCCAATTTAATATTTGGTAACAAGAATTTTGTGAGCTCAGGTTGCCACAGGATAGTTTGTGAGAATAAATAATGCACTGGGCTGTCCAATTCCAAGTTCAGAGAAGAGTGAAGTTGTGACTATGATTCTAATCAAATTTATGCAGAGGGCACATTCCCACTGGAGATATACATAGGTAGAATGACATTGGGGGCTGCTATCTACTGGGAAGGAATTATGTCAGTCAGCTGTCCAACATCCATTCTGCCAAACTTTACTAAGTGAGATGGGAACACACAGAATTACCTACTATATCATTCACATGATATTTGAATTGGGCCAAAAATAGCATAAATTATAAAATTCTAGTAATTCAATGGGGGAAAAAATCTATATGTGTTAAAGTTGGAAGTATTTACATATTTACACATTTATTGATTGACACAACAGTAAGGCATGCCTTTCAGTAACAATTTTAGACTAAACCATAAAAAGAATTATGTTAATGTTAAAGCTATTGCTCCCTATGTCTAGTTCATACTGTGATAATTAAATATTTCTGTCTCACGATACTGGCCTATTAAACATCTTCAGATCCATTTCTATAGTACAAGAAGAGCATAAATATCTAGATATTATCAACACATTATAGTATGCAAAATATCAATTTATAGCTTTCCCCTCAAACAGAAGAATTCAGGAATACAAGAGGCTGCTTGGAAGTCAGGCACTACAAGAGTGTCTGCGTGGGAGATAGGACCTTTCCTTTATACAAAGACAGAGAAGACTTACTATGCCATCCCTCCACTTCCATTTCTGTTCAACTGAGATTAAAGGGCACTATGCTGGCATAAAAACACCTACATGAAGGAATGTGCCAACAGGATTCTGGTCCTTGTGTTATAATTCAAATAATGCCAGTGCCCCAGTCCTAGATAGCCGATATCTTTCCCTCAGATCTTCTGGCTATTATGGAGCATATTCAGTGAGCCCTTTGTAAACATGGAGATCCATTCCAGAACACACACCCCACACACACACTGTGCATGAAAAAACTGTGGGACCCTGATTGAGTGCTGTTGATTTTAATGTTGCCACGCCATGCAAGTGGATGCCATTTTGTCCCCCCAGGCTTGCCATCCATGTGACCTTGGCTCCACATATGACAAGCCCGCGTATGGAAGCGGCGGACTGTATCTCCAACTGTGAATAACCAAAAACCACTATTTTGGCTGTTAACATCAAATTAAACAGATCTAAGATGTCACTTTTGCTTCTGTTTTTAAAGCCCATTTGCAAGGTTCAATAACAGCAGTTATGATTCAAGTGTTAATTCCTTTCATGGAAAATCTTTGAAACTATTTTTATACTTTGCCACTTCTATTTCCATGTTTTGTAATGTTTACATCATCCATTAATTCATGATACTCTTTCTTAGGGGCATTGTAGACCGGCCAAAAACGCTGGCCTGGGGGTGGAGTTGGGCGGGGCAGCCTCATACAAACCACCCCATCCCAGCCAGAAGCTGCCATGATGCCGTGCGCCCGTAAGCATGGCGCATGGCATCAAGATGCCCTTCGGGTACAGTGTGCAGACACACTGTGCCAAAAGGGTGCAGAAGAGCCAGCTCTTAGGGTGGCAAAAGGGAAGATCAGAGCCGTAGCATGGGGTTGCCATGGCTCCGATCCACCACTAGCAGGGGCAGCCCAGAGCTGCCCATTGGCATAGCCCCTTACTGAAAGCCAGTGTGATGTTGTGGTTGTCTGTTGGGTTAGGACTCTGGAAGATCAGGATTTGAATCCCTGCTGGACCATGGAAACCCACTGTGTGACCCTGGGTCAGTCACACCCTCTCAGAGTCAAAGGAAGTGAATGACAAACCCACCTCCAAACAAATTTATCAAGAAAACCTTGTGATCGGTTCTCCTTATGGTCATAAGGTGGAAATGACTTGAAGACAAATTACTTGAAGACCTACAACAATAATAACATCCCTCCTTAGTTTAATTTAGGAATTATTTAGACAGAACTATTAAAAGGGGAAATATAAAATTTCATAGAGAAGTATTGTCAGTCTTATCAAAAGAGTGTCTTGCACTGCTTTACGTCTCCCTAATCCTTTCCTTGAGAAACCCCTTCCAAATACATCTCAAAATTTTACCTTATTTGAACAGGAAAGATACCTCTACTATGTCCTAAAACTAATTTAAAAAGCACAGCCCTTGGAATGTTTTTCCCCAGGCATATAGTTTCATATTTGCTTAGAAATTTAGATAGAAACTAATGGAACCCTATAGTCTGGAATCCTCATTTTCTGATGTGCAAGGAGGTACACTCCTTTATGCAGTTCTTTTCCTTGTGCTGTGCAATAACAGCAAAATAGCATGGGATACAGCTCCACTGTACCCAAATGGCAGCTAATCGGCCAGAGGAGTGTACTGGAAGATTACTGTTAAGCTGTTTACCTACCTCTTAGACTTTCTGTATAACTTCACTGGAGCAGCATTTTGCTATGCCAACATTAAATAGGATCTCATTCACTGATTTTAGTAGAATGTTCCATCCTTAAGAAATTTTGCCAATTTTACTGAAATTCTTCTCCTTGAAAGAGGCAAACTCTTTCTTCTCCTTTCTTCTTTATGCAACAAAGATACTCCAGATTAATCTGTGAGAAGTATGCAGCAAAAAATTGGAAAAAAATGACTGTGCTCCATAAGATTTTAGGACAAAAATCCATCAGAATTTGAAAATACATCCATTAAAAGTGTTGAAAATATGAAACTAACACATCAGGAAATATGCTGCTAGTCTAGCCTTCCCATTGTTGTGCTAGTTTTATATTTTTTTGTGGGGGTGGAAGCTGTTTCTATGGAAGAAATGTGGTTCTGCACCAGCTGCCTGTAAGTAATAAAATTTATTTTACTGGCTCAGCATTTCAGTAACTTCATCTCACTTCATCCTTATTATTATTATTATTATTATTATTATTATTATTATTTAATTTTTCATATTACAGTACATTACATATTATACATTACATATTATACAGGGGGTATCAAACACATTAAATTTACACATTAAATTTAGATTATCAATTTCATTTTATCTTCATTGTTGTTATTATAGTTATAATTTGCAGAGTTTTAATCCTTAGCATTTTGTAAAAATAGTTTTACCTGCACTATTTCACACTTTTTTTTCAAATTGTTGCACTGTCTTTTCTGCCATATGCATAGACAACTTATCCATTATCATAAATTCGTGTAGTTTATTTTGCCATTCGTTTATTTTGGGTATTTCTTCCGATTTCCAATGTTTAGCTAATACAAGCCTTGCAGCTGTCACCATATAAAGAATTACACTTTTTTGTTGTTATTTAAATTGCCATCTATCACATCAAGTATGTTTAATAAAAACAATTCCAGTTTAAATGGAATATGTATCTGCAGTATTTCTGACATTTTCTTACTAATTTCTTCCCAAAATGTTTTACTTTTAATACACTTCCACCACATGTGGTACATGGTGCCTTTTTCTTTTTTACAATTCCAACAAATGTTTTCATTATTTCTTTTTATTTTGGCTAATTTTACACAGGTGATGTACCATCTATGAAATATTTTATGGTAATTTTATTTTAGGGTATTACATTTGCTAAATTTGTTGCAATATTTCCATGTATTTTCCCAACTTTGTAAGGGGATTGTATGACCTATTTCCTGCATCCATTTAATCATATTTTGTTTTATTACTTCTTCTTCTGTTTTAATGTCTAGTAAGCATTTATATATCTCACTTCATCCTGATGCATGCAGAAACAGGACAATGATACCATATTAAGAAAGAGCAAATTTCTGAAGAATCAGTTTCTGGGGAACAGCAGAGACTACCTCTTGGCTGTTCCACTTGAACTCCTCAGATATTCTACAAGAGATGCAATTCATCATTCATTTTCTTCTCAAAGGAAGCAATGAGTAATTTTAGCAATTTTCTTCCCACTGTGAGAAAGACTTCAAAAACTATGCAATTTTTGAAACCTATTCATAGTTTGGGACTTATTATGTACAAAATTCACATGTGGTTCTGCACAGAAAATATTTTCTGCATATGA